CATTCTCAATAACCTTCTTCCTTTCCCATCTTCTTCGTGCATTTTCCCCCTTGTAAGCAAGGTAAACTTAACGACAGAATAGAAGTTAAACTATTGGACGTTGCCAAACTGGCCAGTCAGTGTTCATCAGGGCTGTATAATATGACTTGACTTTTTTTTTTACTAATTAGCATATTATCTTAAGTGTATTTGATCCTTTGCAAGAAGCTGCGAGTACAGTATTAAAGCATCCTGCTCAGTCATATGACAGTTTTCTAAAACAGATCTGTATTTGTTGGACAGAAAGCCACTCCATACTCTACAGTGAATAACAAGTATTTTTTTAATAGGAACAAGAGAAAGCTGGAACTACCTTTGTGTTCTAGAAGTCCTCTTGGGACAGATTTCTCAATCAAAAATAGTATTCTGATATGCTTAATTTCTTTTAAAAACTAAATTTAGAAGTATTGGTGATAACTACTGAGCATAATGACTTCAGTACTATATCAAGGCTGGTTTTATCCCAGTAAGTAAGCTGCAGTCACCAAAGGTCACCAGATCGTGTATCTGAGCTCAGCTCAGTGAATGAAATGGATACCAAAAATGAAATGTCTTTGTCTGGAATATACAGGTATGGAAAAGTTGCCTTCACTGCCATAATATACTTGAGTATTTGTTGATTTTTGTATTGAATACGATGTCACAAAAACATACCTAGGTAGTCGTTGTTGTCAAGTAGACACAAATTACACCTCTGTGCACCCGGTGATGCTTTAACATGAGTTATGATCTCATGGTATATTGCACATCTTAACATAGCTGCAGCTGTTCCCGGTAGGAGCTGTAACTTCTATCTCAAAGCAGCTGAAGCACACGGGTGCTGTAAACACATCTGTAATGTTGCTTGCAGAGAAAAGCTGCAGAACACACTCACGATGTGGACAGAGGTGTGTATAGCACTTAAGGAACCCACGTGGAACCTCTGTAGTATTAAAAATTACTTAAGGGCTATCCATCTAGACAGTACAGTACCTTTTTCGGCATTTACTGAATTTTTATTCCTGAAAGTAGAGCTGTAGTTTTAAGCCTTTTACTTGGATGTAGATGTTGAAATAATTTTATAATAAAATCTTCTAAATGGTTGTCTAGTATCTTCATTTTCTTCTAAGAAGTCTAGTGTAAGCAAGGGCCTTTTTTATTTTAAGTCTTATCAAATGGAGTTGAGCAAAGCAACTTTCACGCTGTGTCAAATAGATGTAGCGGGGGGAGAAACACTGAAACAAGGGTCTAATTATGCTTGATGTTGCATCTGCTGAGAGTTTACGTGGTCCCTAAAATCAGAGCACCACCTCACGCATCACCTTACTCCTTCTAATTAGGATAGCATTCATCTTCAGAGATGAGAACTGAGAATCCTTCATCAGTGCACATTCTACCCTCCAAAATACCTATTTTTTTGTTCAGCTGTAAAGAATGTGAGAATTCACCATCAGTTTTAGTTTTACATAAAAAAAGACATCCATCATCAAGTCTATAACAAATAACTTTCTCCACAGGCTAAACGACAGCCTCTCTTCCAGCTCTGAAGCAATGGGACAACTGTCGTTATTTAATAGTTGGTTTGTAAGAGAAGGGTGGTTACCAGACAGAACAGACTGTGCCATGATAAAACAGTCCTGTACAACTGGTGCTTTAGCAGACTTGTGTTTGCCTGGGAATGTCCTGCATCTCCCTTAATTTTAAGAAGATAGAGTTAACTGTAAAAATGTGTGTAGGTACTTTACCTGAAAGACGAGAGGTGAAAAACAGCCAGACCCTGGCCTGGGTGTCTGGCAGTAGATCTACAAGCGGCAGCCTTGTCTGCTGAGTTTCCCGTTCTTAACAATGTTTTTTCACCTGTAATGCCAGTGAAGCAGATCAGGTGGTGTAAACTTTAAGCATTTTACAATTACAGAAATGTACCACTCTGACATATATCAGTATGTCAGGTGTGTTGGGAGAAACAACCCAGAACTAAAAGTACACCAGGGACTTCAATAAGCTACTGCAGAAAACAAAACAAAACCAACAACAAAAACACCCATTGTGTTTTCTTTTCCCCATCCTCCTTTACTGCCTTGCAGTCCCTAGGGACAGGACTAGCACATTTCCACTCAGGTTTTTCCAAGCAGAATTACATATACGTGCATTCTATACTTCACCCACGGCAGGCTCTGGAGACACACACGCTGCACGTGGGAGCCGGGCATGCCGCGGATGCGGCAGGAACGTACCTGGCCTGCTGTGCGGCCCCGTGTAGAGCACGTGGCCCCAGCAGGCAATGCGGTCTCTCTGCAGCACGCTGCTCACAGGCCATCAGTTCCAGCCAAGCTCCTGCAGTCCAGAAGGTGCCAGAAGTTGAAATTTTTTTTTTCCTTCCCCCACACAAATCCAGTGAGTGACAGAGGCCGCGCACCCAGCTCCTGATTCAGCAAAGCACTGGAGGTACGGGACTGGCTTGCTTCTAGCATGTCAGAGGTTCACTGACATCAGCAAGTTTACTCACGGCTAAAAGGCATTCTGGTTTCACACAAGATAAGCAGATGTTGCACTTCCCCCTTTGCCCCCTGATGAGGACCTTACAAAGCCAGGTTCCTGATGTCAACAGAAACCATGCCAACGCACCCTGTTTTCTTTTCCAGATTGTTAGCTAAAACGCGTACACTGGTTTTGTTGCTGGTGCCTTGGGCACACGTCCAGATTAATCTTCCTGGAGCCTTGATAAGTGGTTGTTCATTATCATCTTTTCCCTATCACTTAACCAAGCTTTCAAATCCACCAGACTTTGCCCTTAGCGTGCAATAATGTCCTTCCCATAGCATTATTACAAAACAAGCTTTGCTGCCTTTGATAAGAAACACTACTGGACTGGAAAAATAGATTGGGGTTTTTTCCCCCCTTACAATAGCGATGATGACTTGAGAGGATCAGGTTATAACCCCCGAGAATTGTCCGCCCTTAAATTCTTGAGCAGTTTTGGCCAATGGAAGGTAGAACGTGGCACTTTATGATCCCTCGGCTCAGCTAATTTGGGGGAGTGGGGATGGTGAAGAGGAAGGGGCACACTTCTGGGCTAACATCTTTGGGTTTGCATTCCCTAAAAGCTGGCAACACAATTTTAAGTACCTGTATCTCGATCCTGTATTACAGTCCCTAAGGTGGCTTTGCACGACTGTGCTGGTGTGCACGTTCAAGACCGAATGACTGACTCAGTACCTGGCCAGATGCTGCTCCTCCTTGCAGTCAGCAAAGAGAAAGCAGGACATACCGGTGGGCAGTCTCAGTTCACCCTACGTCTTTTCACACACTTCATAGGGAGGAAAGGGCAGAAAATCCCCGTGGGCAGTCTGAATTCTTCCCTGCCATCCAGAATGCTGGATAGCACAGCAAGAGGCTAGAACACAATCCTGTGTCTTCAGAATATTCTGAGGCCTTTTAATAATCTAATCTTTTATATGAGTAGAAAAATATGTATGGGCTATCAGGAGCTGCTCCTCACCAGCTCTCTTCTAT